TTCATGTTATTACATTCACTTCCGAGGGCCATTGTATCATTCCATGAAAATATTAAAATACAGTATTTTGTACGGTTTAGGCTTATCTTGTTCGTTCTACTGGATCGCGTGTGTGTGATGAATCAAACAAAAATTGTACTTACCTGAAAAAGCCGAGGAAACTTACTTTTCTTAAAATTGTGGCAACAATAGAGATGTTTTCATCTACAAGTTTATTTGTTTATATTTTTTTTTTCTCTTTTTTTCTTCACTTACGTAGAAATCTTTTCTTAAAATTCCCCATTTTTATCATAATTTATTGACCACGTTTAGAAATAATTTGCAAAATGTTAGTGTTTCTTCAAAGACAACTGCGAATATTTGTGAATTTATTTATAAACGAATGTCAGAGGAATGGAAGGAAAAAAAGGACACTTTGAGACATCTTATTATTTTTCTAACCAGAGCCCCTTAATCGTTCTAAAAATATATGTAAACGTTCATACGTAAAACAAACAGTAAACACGCTTTCTGAATTCCAACTGAGCAGAGATCAGTTTCAATAGGTATACAAAATTTTTTTTTTTAATTTTAGATCCATATATGCACACATGGTTTTTTTAGAAATTTTTTATGAGTAAGCATGTAACAGCAGTTGGAGTGGAAAATTTGTACTCAAAGAGGAGTCATAAAATGTAAATAATCAGTTCTTATCGGTTTCGTGCACGTATCCATAAAGCAATTTACGGATGAATAAGTATTGAAAGAGGAAAAATGTTTGTTTTATCTCACATTGTTTGTACTCTTTTAATGGATGAAATAAATTATCGAGTATGAGAATAATCCAGGTAAAATATCTGGTAGAACAAACCGTAGAAACGAGTTTTCATTACTATATACTTTCGCGTATAATGCCAGAATAAAAAAAAGAAAAAAAAAAAAAAATAATTTTACTATACCTATACCTATACAATAAAATAAAAAATTAACAATGGAAATAATCATTTTAAAAAAATGTATAAACACACGTCAAACTTTCTAAAACACCTCAAAACCTCCTCCACATCATTGCACACACCGCGTGCGTGTATCTCTTTTTACTTTGAAGTATCCTCTCGCGTCTTTATCTTCGTGGTACATTCGTGCACGTCTGTAAGTTTCACATTATGAAGATGCGCCTCACGAACATCCTCCGTCCTCCTTTTATATTTACACTCTACCTTCAGCCTATGAGAGTATACATTTTTTTTTTTTTTTTTCTCATTAAACATTCACTACACACGTTGGTGCAATAAAGAACGAGAGAAAGAAAAAGGTTAAAACGCTTCTGTTATTGTCTCTGCTCGTATACGAGAGATTCTCCAAAAAAATTGGGATAACCTCGTTCCCAATCACACTCTTGATAAAATAATTTTCAACGCTCATCAGACAATACAGAAATAATGTAGATTTTTCGGGTAATTGTGCAACAACATAATATTTGTCATTGAAGTAGCTGTTTTTCATCTCCGGACATGCATTGCCTACTGAATGGGTGCCTAATTTAACCACTACTTTTTCCCTGAGCATCCATTACGTGAAATCCAGTCAAATTAGTGTCCAACATTCATTTAAAAAACCGTAGAAAAATCAATGACGTCCAGATTCCCTTCTTTTGCATTATAGTCGCAAATTTAACAAACGTAATTTTTCTTTCAATTTCAAGCGACACGTCACGTGAGCACCGAAATTTTTGTAGAATCGCTCGTGCACCTACGTTATAAACGTCCGAGCGAGCAAAGCAGGGCCTCGTTGCAGCGGACAGTAGACACGTATCATGAGTGTGCACATAGCGTCATACATGTATCCTTTAGCATCCCAGTCACGTAAAGCGACCTAATATTACTGGCATAATCCTCTCTCTTGCTGTCGCTGCAAGCAACCATCATAACAATACACCATCGCAGAGGTCTCGCTATACCCACGGTATTGTATTATACGCTCAAAGTATAATATCATCCGCTGCAGCGAATTTCCAGTCGTCAGCGAAACGAGACAACGTTGTTGCGTCTTTTGCGATGGAAATTAAAAAAATACCCTCCAATATTTCTCACATACTTGTACGTATGCCCAAAAAAGTAAAAAAAAAAAAATTTTTATCATTGGATTACCGCGCGTTACATAGGTCGAGAGAGAAAAATTTTTTTACTTTTTTTTTCCGTCCGAGCTGCAGTTTCTGCCCGACTGATAAATACACCACGCGCTTGATAACGCTTGCTGCAAAGAGCTGATGCAAAACACGAGCCCCGATATATATACCAACTGCGTCTTACTTGCGTTCATCCGACGAGTATAGGTATATACATGTGCGATCGTCGCATCCTTGTATCTGTGGAATACCAAATATCCGCGTTCCATTGTGCTTACTTGCATACACGCATACCAAATTTTTTTTTTTTTTTTTTCTCTCGTGATCATCAAACCTATATACGTATACGATGTACGATGTCTTGGGTATACGACACATTGTTGATCACTTTAAAAAGCATCAGGCATGGATTTTTTTGTTTCCCGAAATCGTGACGCATTTTTTCTATCACTACTTGTAAAACGATGCTCCCCCAAAAAGTTTATATTTTTCAATCCACTATTTTGTCAAGTTGGTATATCGTGTTACAATGAGTATAATAAACCGCGGAACATTTGATAAAAAAGATATCCGAGCTGCCAATTTCTGCTTGTGTATATATATAGGTACCCATACTAATGGTGAGATATACGTGCAATCCTTTTTTTTTTTTTTTTTTTTTCAACTCGCCTTCGTTTATCACCTTCTCGTTCGGTTCGCTTAATCGCCTATAGGTAGGCAACTATAGTGGCGTGCGTTAGATACACAATGAATTTCATAACAGCAGAGGAGAGCATCATTACTCACGAGCCGAGTACGCGAAGGTCGACTCGGTACGCTCGTGGTATCTCTAATTAGCCTCGGCCCGTCGAAACCGTCCTTTCCCGCGTTTGCACCAGAGGCATAAAGTAGGCACCTAATGCGCCATTCTTGCGTTTTTTTTTTTTTTTTTTTTTTTTTTTTTTTCTTTCCGTTTGCTCCTTCTTCCGCTTTTTCTCCTCTGCCTTTCGCGACTCTTTTTTCCCCTCGATATTGCGATTTTCGTAACGAGCAAAAGATCGATCCGCCTCAAAAATCGCCCTACAAAATATGACATTTGCAACTTGTTGTTGGGCTTGAGCATAAAATAACAGCCTACCTTTTTATTTCCATTATTTCAATGCACCCACGCACCGCGAACGGATGATAAAAAAAAAAAAGAAATCAACACTATGTATGCACGATAAAATGAAAAATAAATAAACAAATAAAAAAGGAGTCGAACGAATTTATTTGGAGCGGGAAACACGTGGCTGCCAACGAGACGTCGGCGACGAAAATTTACGTGCCAAACAAATAGCTCGCAGCAGCGTCTCCGACCGTTTTATCGTCGGCCTGTACGCCCACGCGTACACGTACATATACGTGTATTTGGAGACGTGCGTACACACATGCCCCGATTCGCACCGGCTTATCTTTCATCGCGCATTTTTTCGTTTCTCGGTTGTTTATCATCAGATAACCGAGTAATTGTACCGTCGTCGACGCTGGCACGTGTATGTGGTACATGTAACCCTTTTACCAGTCATTTGGGGAAAAAAAAATCGCGGCGCGCTGTTTTACACCGCAAAGCTATATTCACCCGAAGGAACCAGCATCATCCGTTCAAGTGTTTACCAAAAAGATACGACTAAATTTACCGCTCATTTTCCCAACGCCACCGAGTATAGAAACATTCCATCTTGCTCTCTCGGTGCAGATGATGCAGGTGAAAAAAAAAGAAAAAATTCCCTTTTGTTCAGGCTTTTTTCTCCTCCAGCGCACACGCGGAAGACGTGCACACCGACAATACTTGCATATGCACTATCCACGTGCTGGTACACGTAAAGAGGCATTTCCTCGTTCTGCAACGCGATAACGGCGTTTACTCGCCACGGTGGGTGCGGGTAAACGTATATAAAAGCACATGCACCACCGACGCCGAAGTACTATATAATACATCTCATATATATTTATCATCATCTACCACGTATAATCCATACTTATATACATATAATCTCGGGGGCGAGAAGTTGTTCGTAGATGCCCTTTTACATTGTTGTAAATCCGTAAATCGGTTTTTTTTTTTTTTTTTTAAATTGTATTGATATGTATTGAACATGAGACCAAAGTAATTGCACTAAGTCGTTGGCCGAAGAATTCTCGATTGTAACAAGGAACACCAATATCGGTACGAGATCGGTGGAAGGGAGGGACAATTGAACAATTAAAAAATGACCGAGTTTACTGAAAAAATCCAGCTGTCACCGATGCGAAAGATACTCTCGCGTAATAATCATTCATTAGTTAAATTTACTGATTTTTCATATCTCAAACTATTGTCCGATATACCACATACCGGACCAATAAACCCGCGTCTCTTTAACGACTCACGAATACATGATGATAAAGTACATAACACGATATAGGTTCGCCGTGACGCTACAGCTGACATTAGAAGCACGTATGATAATATTCCAAAGCGTGCACGTGTCCGAAGAAATGCGACCAAAGAAAAAATCAATAATTTTTCAATCGCACGATGAAAAAAAATAATAATAATAAAACGATCTCGCAACAGCAAGGGGGGGGGAGAAAAAAACACGCATCGGTAAGCACGCGATGCATCGACGGATTGACGGACAGCTCGTGATGAGCGATCTGCATTGTACATAACCCATGATCATCGTCGTGCCGCCAATTAATATACGAGAGTTTGTCTCTCTCGGGCGTGTATTTGTTTGTACAATGGCCAGCTATAATGCGCGTGCGTTAGATTGATTATGCGTTTTGCCCGTGAGCTCATCCAGCATCGGTATACCGGCTCACCTCTTTATATATGTACGAGTTTTTTGCAGCCGTAGCAGCTAGTTGCTCGCCCGGTAGCATTGGCTCAACTCCGGAGAGGCATACAGGTACGCCAAACCCATACGATCTATATGTCCTGCGACTCTGCCACTGCTGCGCGAACGTCACTTAACACAGGTGCGTATTGAGCTTTTTCTTCCCCTAGTTGCCACGCTTGCTATGTAGGCCAATACGTTATTTGTACATATACACATTATATATGCAATGTACCTGTACGTGTGCATACGTATACTCTCTCGTGATTTCTTTCGCTTGTGTCGTTATCGTCTTTGATCGACGATTGTTTCCTATGGGAAAGGAATATTAATGCAAGCTTGGCACCAAAGTGCCGTGGCTGCGTGAAATTAAACTCCCGCGGCTCGTTTCGGGCGGAAGCGCGTCAGCGCTGGCTTGGCATGTTTTTTTCCGCAAAAGGACCCGCGACGTGTCATTGTCATCGCCCGAGCGACCAAAAAAAAACACCCGTAAACGTTGTACTTACCATCGGTTTCAGAAATAGTGAGGCGGTAGGAAGGATGTCGGGCGAAAAGGAGTTGCACAGAGAGCTGGAGCAGCTGAAGAGGAAGGAGCGGGAGCGGGAAAAGGAGCTGCAAAAGGAGCTGCACCGGCTGCGGGAGAGGCAAGAGCAGCGGGAAAAGGAGCTGCAGAAGGAGGTGGACAGGCTTAGGAAGAAAGAGGCCCAGCTCGAGAAGAAGAGGAAGCCCAAGGAGGAGCCGGACAACCACGGCAAACTCGCCAAGGAGCCAAAGGACAAGCCCAAGCTCAGGCAGTCGTTTAGCGCGTCCATTACCACGTTGGCGAGCAACACGCTCCTCCACCATAAGCAGGACAAGCAGCAGGAACAGCAGCACAAGTAGTACCTGTACCTATGGGGACTGCTGGAGCGATTGGGAAGACCGGGAGGAAAGGAAGAGGGACCCGAGAGAAGAGAAAGTGGTGAAAGTTGGGATGTCGTTGTGGCGCTGGTTTCTACAATTATGTTAAGTGGTACGTGTACTCGAGGAAATCCGTTGGTTCGATAGAAACGAGCTGGCTAAAGTTTTTTTTTTTTTTTTTTTTTTTTTTTCCCCGAGATACATAAATATATACGTGGAGTAGTCAAGGGTCTTGTTGGCCGATGGAGGCCAAGTGCCATCACCATGTGTTACGGATATTTATTGCAATATCTTACTAATCTTGAAGGGGATCACCATCGTTTTTCCAGATTGGCCAAGAGACGAAACGAAGAGACTAACCAAATGACGAATCTGTTTTCGCACAGAGATAAACAAAAAATTTACTAGATTCGAGAAAATCCGTTTACTTGATTTCTATTGAGTAAAAACAAATCATTAATTACTTGGAACTAGTACGTTTTCTTTTTCTTTTTCTTTTTTTTTTTTTTTTTTTAGTGCACCTAAGGTGTACAACATGTATTGTTTGTACTGTTGATTAAATCATCGACTATTACTAATTGTACCTGTACGTAAATATAACAGTAACATTAATAATAATAATCATATATTTTTCTACTCTTGTTTTTTACATTGTTTTTTGTGTACACCCATATGTGTATTTAAAAATATAATAATGATGATATATTCGTATATCTTACGTTTTGTACAAAACTTTAACAAAGAATAAACGACTCACCCAAAAACAAACGATCCCTGAACCCCCGTCTCGATTATTATTCCAAACCAAACGATAAAGAAAAAGGGAAAAAGATATTGCAACAAATTTTGTGCAAAGCCGTACCGAGCGAGCCCATTCTATGAATTCTCCGCAAACGGTCCATGGATGTTAATTATCATTGCGAGAGACTCTTCTTCTTTTGTTTGGTAAGCAAGTCGCCTCACCTTTTTTTTTGCCGCACGTCTCCTCGCACGGGTACAGCGAATATAAATATACTCATCATTTCCATACGTTGTAAGGAAAAAAAATGATTGTACGAGAAAAAAGTTACAAACTTTCTCGCTACGGACAAAATTTAATTGAACGCCTGTACCGGTGGTTGCAAAAAACACGCGGAGAAAAGCCACCACCGTGATTTTGCTCGTTTCGCTGAAATATGCAAGCTTATAAAAAAAAAAAAAAAAAAAAATGAGCAAGAGCCGAGTGATTTATCAGAGGCGCTGATAAGGTGACAGGCGAGACGAACGAAAAGACGGAAACTTTGAGACGCGTATAAATATGCTTGCACCGAACAAACATAAACGTACACCCAGAACAGATACACATGTGTATGTGTGTATTGTTGAGAGAGTGCACATTTTCAGGTTTCGCGTGATGAAGTTACTAGCCAAAGAGATGCCGAAAGAGCATTTCAAATTACAGGGTTCACTCATTTTATTACTGAAGACAAAAAAGATGACTAATCCATCAGATTGAGTCGGGTCGTGTCTTTCCCTGCAATTGTAACATTGTTGTACTTAGGTAATATTGTGTTTTCGTGTGCCCATCATGAGAGAGGCCCATTGCTCGTCTATTTCATACGCACGTATTTAATTACACTACACGTGTGTGTCATATATATGTGAGTTGAACCTGCAATTACAATTTACTCCTCTAGGCCTATATTTGGCAAAAAAAACACCACCCGCTTGTTTGTCTTACAAAATCATCTCAATTTCGTAAGATATGTACTCCATTTGTCCAAATCTACAACACAGAAGAGGATGAGCCATTACAAAGCGCGTGAGCCAAGGGACGTAGCTTCGCGGAAGGATTAAATCGCGTCGCGTATACGATTTTCGGGGAAGCGGTTTAATTTCTTGCATCCCCGTTAAAAAAGGCATCCCGGCCCAGACCTGTTTTCCTTTTCTCCCCTCGTGTTCGTTAGACCACACTGGCGCGATAAATAAAGTTGGAGAGAAAAAAAAAAAAAAAAAAAAAAAATCAACGGGCGATTACACACCAGTGAGGCTTCGACAGGCTGCTATTGATTCGTACGTTACGAGCGAGCTCCAGAGAAAGAGAAACACAAGGCTCGGCTGTTTCAGGTGGCAAATGCGGTGGCGTACGTCAACTTTTTATTTTTACAACGCCTAAAATCACGAATAATATGTGCGGTGCCCTTCCATTATACTGCTCATTATCACCGGCTGGTATCATTCATATGCTCACATTTCGAAAGTGTTAAACTCTTGGCACGTAACATAAACTTGTATATAAGGTATACACGACATCGGCAGGTACCGTTACACTGAGAGAAAAATACAATAAAATTTACTGCGCTAGAACGGTAATCTGGTGTCATTCCGGCGTCTAGGGACTTTTTGCCAACCTAATTTTTACCATTTCGGACAGTAATTTTTATTATATTTTTCTCACAGTGTACCACTGACACGTTGATATTCGTCCGTCGAGTGCTGATTTACAGGGTGAATTAAAATTAATAACATTATGTTTGCGGTATAGGATACAGATGAAACGCGTGTATAAAATCGCTGGATCGTATAAACTTTCCGCTTGTGCGTGGGTATACACGTATACCCATATCTAACGCTGACTCTGGGGAATTTTGCACAGGGGTGATGTGCGAGCCAGCTGAATTTTGCACCATTAGCGGCCACAAGCACGAGTGCCCCGGACGCGAAAACATCATTTTGATTCACGCGGTGGTAAATTGTAATGTGGGATTGCACAGCGTGATGACGCGGTAATCCATATCATTCGCTGATTGTGGCGTTTGCCACCGGGAAATGAAAATCTCTGTGGTTTATGTACGTTACATCCATTCGATTAGCGGCGGAAACTTTTGTTTTTCCATGCAAGTACAGTTGTTAATTCCGTGCACTAATCTTTTAAAAAGTGGAAAAATTCGTAGTTGGCGTAAAAGGGAGAAAACATAAATGTACCACGTGAATTTTCCATCCATCCTCGTGCACATCCTAGATGTAATTATTACAATACACGCGTACGCAGTAATATACACGTCATCGTTTCATCAACAGTGAGCTAAACTAGTTAAATAGATTTCTACGTTTGCGCATGTATATGTATGCGCATAAACATGTACAAGAGGGGAGATGGGAGCTGGTGACTTTCACCCTCGTTCGGCCCAGATATTCAATATGGCTTCCTTCGAGTGATGCGACCGAGAGTAGGTCCTTCACACTTGCACACCAAAAGCTGCGGGGGTGCGTTTACAGGCCACGCCCTGATTTTTAAATCTCCTCCCCTCCCATCTACTCTTTGCCAAATGGTTTTTTGAGCCGAGGTGCGACTATGTATAATTTTACTTTCAACAAATGCGAGTGCCTTCTTATACATTTTTTCCATTAATTTTGTATTATTATGATATACTATGAATTCAAGTGCTTTTAAATACTTTAATTTTTTTTAATGTAATTAAAATTGATCCTTAAAGAAAAAAATAATAATTCGTTTAGTTAAAAACTGTTATGTTCAATGAAAGCATTTCTTGAAACATTCATCAACATTATTACTACACCAAATGCATTTTATGTAACTATAGCATCAACTATACTTACTATAAGCGTGTACTTAAAAATACTTGGATTTACAGAAGTGTTTCATGATATACTGCACGCCATAATGCGCGAATTTTCTTTCAAGGTGAAACGCAAATCTCCCGATAATAATAAGGTCATAAAGTTGGGGCGAGCAGTTAATCGGGGGAATCCCCGGTGCGGAAGATGCTGTGCAGCTGTACTATATACAGAAAACGTTAAACCGGTAACTTGTGCATGTGGGGGGGGGGAGGGTCGTGCCAAGGACGGCACGTGTGTGCAAAAATGCATACGTACCGCACCATGTCGATGAAGAGGAATATATAGAGCACGTTATCCGTGCGTCTTCTTCCCATTCGATCATTTTCCTTTTCCCATTCTATTTCTGGGTCCTTTTTGCACGTAGGTACATTTTCTTTCGACTGAGCGCGTTGAAGTTCGAAGGTTGCACGTGGCACCACTCCAAAGTGCTTTTACATATTTGTACAATCTGTCAATGCGTCGTGAAATTGAAATCGAAGCGAAACCGGAGGAGTAGGTGTATAAAACGCCTCTTTTGTCCGAAAAAATGGGGGTAGGTATTATTATGGTCCGTCCGTAGTTTCCGGTATTGAGCTTTTCTCAATACTCCCGGACTCTAAATCACAACTTCAAACAACTTTCACTGCATTCTTTGATGTTTCGAAAAAAATTCAACGGTGGGGAAAAAACTATTTTCCGCCCTCGGGTGGTTTTGGGAGGCTGGTACTTCCTCGGGCAAAAAAGCAGTTTTCCGATACTCGTTCGAAAAGTCTCCTGTACGAACCTCGTTACGTCCCTCGCCTTCGGCTCGGGCCGCAAACCTCTCGGTTCGCAAACAAAGACTTTTCAAACTCGTAGGAAAACTACTATTAATTCAAGTCTTTTGGGTCGAAAATGAAACTTTTGTATACGCGCAGCTTCGTCCACCTGACCGTGGCTTGAAAAAAAAAAAAAAAAACCCGCAATTCAGTTTGTCGCTCCATTTGGCACGCGCGCGTCATTTATGAACAAAAGAGTGATTGATCGGCCGCGATGTTTCGACGGTTCTCCCCTGGGCCGGTCCTCTCTCGAATTATCGCCATCGCTAAACTGTTTCGCCTACTTGGGCATTCATCGCGAATAATGCGCACACACACACACATACATACATGTATCACCTGACGGATTCAGGTCATGTAGCGCGATCATCTCATTTGAATGGTCCAAATTTGCGTGTAAGGTATATAATATATGGACATGAGGCGAGGGACAGGAAGTGCACTTAGTCACGGTCTCGTGAATGGTTGAAACTTTTGCCGCGCGGTTGTCCGCTGCTTTTGGCGAGGATGCCTATAAATAGTATAAACTTGGTGCCTGTTTTCATGCGACTTTTTGTTACGAGAGTAGAAAAAGTATGAAAATCGAGTGATGAGTTCCCGAATTCATGTGTTTTTCTTTCCTCTCGGTCTTCGAACGAGAAACTTTGCCATCAGTTTACGGAGCGATCGTGTCTCTCTTTTACCTTTTCTTTAAACTCACGGACGCTCCCTCGCTACAGTATACCATTAAGATAGTCCTATATACTTCCCATTCCTTTCGAAACGGATCGATTTTTTTTTTTTTTTTTTTCCGGCGCTCGTTCGAGGAAAGTGTGTACCTACTACACAATATCATTGTATACGCACTCCTTATATATATATACAAACTTTTTTTTTTCTTCACATTGTACAACTAAGCTACCGAAATAAGTGGAAAAACTTTTATCTGCAAATCACGCGCTCGTGAAATACTCTCTTCTTTGCGAATTCCCGAATATATTTGTACTTTGTACGTACAAGGTATGGATTATAGAAAAGTTTTTTTACGCTCGCGCTTACGAAGGAACGGGCGCCTGCGTGGCAGCTTCATCAAAGAGAAAGCTTTTTAATAGTTCGTAAAAGAGAGGAAAAAAAAAAAAAAAAAAAAAACAACGTAGAACTCGAGAGTAGAGATACGGTTTCATTCCGAGACTTTATATAGTATATTTATGTGATGATACAACAAGAAGACAAGAACGAGGAAGAAACTATTTTTAAACGCGCGCGTGTGTGCATTTCTTTCCGAGGAATTTGGAGGCAGGGCGCTTGGATGATTTTTCTTCCCTCGTGCACACACACGTGGAGTAAAAAGGTATCGGGGGAAAAAATATT